GGGTTTTGCTGCGGAGCGCGCCCTCGGTCACACACGCTGCTTACCTTGTCACGGGTACAGATATGCTTCTGGTTTTTTACTTCACAGACTCGAGTGAATTTAAGTAATCGCTTATAATCAAAATTATTCTGGATTCCTAGGTGATGACAATCCCTAAAAGCATTCCACAGAGAGCGTTTAACAATGAGATCATACTGGTACATACAGAAGCATTGTTTCAGTAGGAATTCATAACAAAAACTTTAAGATTTGTACCTTGCAAAATAATCCCATTTGTCAACATCAATGCCGTTCTTTTTGTTCGCCACTATCTCATATAGGAAACTTTTCTCCTTCCGTCGACCAAGGTAGGGCCACTAACACCAGGGGAGCCAAGAAGACAAAAAAAATCAGAAACAATAAGAAATTAAAGTGTCCACACAATGTCAGAACAACTTTTTAAAGACAGTGGAAATACACTTTGATTTTGCCTGTGACAAACATCCAACACTGGGGTAGCAAAGAAACCAAAGACAAGAAAAGAGCTTTCAGAAGCCATTAGGCATTAGAAATCCAGAAGAAATGCTTCAGCAGCTGACCTCCCAGAGTACCAGGAAGGATAAAAAACCACGCACACAAGTATTTCATTTCCTATTCTTCCAAAGCAAAGCTTGCAGCTTTACTAGGAGAGAAAAAAAAAGGCGCAGCAAAGAGGGGAATAGGTTGTAATCATTTAATCCTCTGGGAATTAGGTAAACCCACAAATGCGTCACTGTCTTGCAGTCTTCTGCAATCAACTGTATGCTTTCTAGAACAGAGTTTTAAAGCAATTATTTAGATGTTTTAAACAAAAATTGTTTAAACAGCCAGCTACTTAAACTCCTAACCCACAACAGACAATTCAGCCCTGAGGCAAACAGGAAATCAACACCAAAATAAGAAGATACAAGTTACCCATAAACATTGTTTTCTTGAAAATTTAATGATTCTTCAGCTAAACAAAAAATGCCATAAAGCGGCCTTGCAGTTCTGAAGGCGGGAAACATTGCATACAAACAGATAAATGGCTTTCATTTATCTGCACTACAGAAAAATTAAACCTGATGACTAAGAGCAGACGTGTGCAGGCAGCGGGAAGAAAGCACGTCACACGTGAAAACATCCTGCGCTGATCACAAGGCCCTTTGCTACCGGGACAACGTTCAGGACACCGCTTCTGTTCAACGCAGAACGAACGCGTTGTTCCCGTCAGGGCCAGGCGGCCTGCCACGCGACAGCACCGCAGCACAGACGCCTCGGTGGCACAGGAGCCGGCGCTCTGGTAAGACCACCACGGTGGTCCACCAGTGGAAGCTCCTGCAGCCGAACAGCAGGAGAGTGGCAAGCAGGTTGCCACGTATCACGGATGACACTCCTTTTCCTGTTATCCTGCTGGAGAACAGGCACAGAATGCAAACAAGGAAAAAGAGACTTTTGGCTAGAACCTGGCAGAAGATCACAGCAGTGGCAGGCAGCAAGATTTGTGTGCAAATGAGTGTCAGTGGGTAAAAGTCAACTTGACGACTTTGCAAATGAGTATCCGCTTACTATAAGATCTGAATGAATTTTATTATGCTAAGTTGCCCAGAGAGATAGTGGAGGCCCCATCCCTGGAAACACCGCAAGCCAGGTTGGATGGGGCTCTGAGCACCCTGATCCAGTTGATGTCCCTGCTCGCTGCGGGGGGGTTGGACTGGATGGCCTCTGAAAGTCCCTTTCACCCCAAAGCATTCTGTGATTCTAAGTTCCCTCTCTTTGTCATCAGAGTGCACATGGTAGAACTACACACTACTACAGCAGAAAATAATGGGTAAGTGCTGACTTGTGGGTGATTTGTTTGGGACAAAATACAGATTCTGATTAAGAACAGATTGTCATGACAGATCTCCCACTGACGGCTTTTTAATTCTGGTAGCAACTGAGCGCGTGTCCTTAAAGAGATGACAAGAGCTGTAAAGTGTAAAATGAGGAGAGAGGATTCCTTCTTTCATAGACTTGCAAGGATTAATAATCACCATCTCTTCTTCCTTGCCTCTTGAGGCAACACATTTCTTGAAGTCTTAACCCTGCCTCTGTGTTTGTTTCTGCAATAAATCCAAGCATTCTGCTACTGTTACCAAAGCAGATGCAGCTAAGGCACTTGGGCCGTGCTTTGCATTGCTCAGTGCCTCGTCTCTGCCCGTTCTCAGTTTTGTTACCCATTATCAGCTTGTTACCCTAAACTATCTCCAGGTTTTCTTCATACAGCCACCTGAAAACACGACCTCCCACCACCACCGCCTTCAGGCACCCAGTAAACAGGCCGGTATCCTAACCTGATCATTTAAGGTTTCCATTAAACACTCAGTTCTACCAGTCTAGTTACAGTGAATTAGGTTCACTAAATACAAATAATATTCTTAAGCTTTCCTTTAATCTGAAGACTTTGAGGCAAGAACTTCTCAGAAAGACGTAGGCACAGAACCTAGTGAAGCTACCACATCCTGCCAGCACCGTAAGAAACAAACACCACACTTCTCTAGCATCTCTTCTGCCAGGATTCTCAGAATATCACAGGGCTAAAAATAAACAATAAAACATAGCAGAAGCAAAAATTATCTACTCTTTCAGTAAAACTGAAGACATTTGTTGGGATAAGCAGCACACCGACTCACCGATTCCTCACAAGCGGTTTCATCTATAGGTCCTCCTATTTGTTCCTTGATGAAGTTCATGTCTTCTTCCAGGACAAGACCATAGGACTTCATGACTTCTTCTAGTTTATTGGAAGTGATCAGGTGCTCAAACATTTCAACAGAAGCAGTTTCATGCTGTGAAAAAAACCCAACAACTAAATGTTGCATTAGAAAGTTTAAGCATCCTTCCTGCGTGTCCCGGCTTTCCCCTCAGCCAGCAGCGCTGCCTGGAGGGCGCCTGGGCACGGCGGTGGGCAAGCGCGGCACGCTGGTGATTTGCTGTCCATTCTGTACCTCACCTGCTCTGCATAGCCCGCAAACACACTTGTCAGCAGAGTAAGCAGTAAGACAGTTACAATGCTAAAAGATAAAATAAACTTTTCTGCTGTGCAGAACACTAACAAGTTTGCTCAGCTGATTTTGCCTAGTGATTACAAGCAGAGAGAGCCCTGAAAGGATGGCATGACATTTCCTTCACAGCAAACAACCCTTGAAACTGTTCAGAGTTTCTGGAAGTATGAACTCTAAACACTGTATTAAATATCCTGGCCTTGAACTAAAATCTTAAACTAGAAAGGAAGCTCCCAGGTGGTATTTTGCATCTCTAACATATATTCTGAAGAAAGCTCGCAGTAGGCATTTGAAGATACAAGGCTGGCTTAGAACGATCAGCGCAGTCCTAACAAATTCTGCCTCTTCAGAATCACACCACAGGCACTGACAAGCCTGAGACGTTTCATTTCATTTCTCCTCTGTGTCGCCCAGTGTGACAGCTGCAGGAAGAGGACACGCGTGCACCAACAGAGCTCGTGAAAGCACACCGGAGTTCAAGAGCATTTGCACTTTGTGGGAAGAGAAGCTGCTGACAAACACCTGGCCTCACTCACTGCTCCCCATGTCTCTGCTTTGCTAGTAAGGCTTCACCTGCTCGTGGCCACACCACGGGGGCTGACGGTCCCCAGACAAACAGTTAAAGTGAACAATAAGGAAATCATCATGAGATTAGAAGACAACATTCTGATTTTTCCCTTGAAACTGTTCAGAGTTTCTGGAAGTATGAACTCTAAACACTGTATTAAATATCCTGGCCTTGAACTAAAATCTTAAACTAGAAAGGAAGCTCCCAGGTGGTATTTTGCATCTCTAACATATATTCTGAAGAAAGCTCGCAGTAGGCATTTGAAGATACAAGGCTGGCTTAGAACGATCAGCGCAGTCCTAACAAATTCTGCCTCTTCAGAATCACACCACAGGCACTGACAAGCCTGAGACGTTTCATTTCATTTCTCCTCTGTGTCGCCCAGTGTGACAGCTGCAGGAAGAGGACACGCGTGCACCAACAGAGCTCGTGAAAGCACACCGGAGTTCAAGAGCATTTGCACTTTGTGGGAAGAGAAGCTGCTGACAAACACCTGGCCTCACTCACTGCTCCCCATGTCTCTGCTTTGCTAGTAAGGCTTCACCTGCTCGTGGCCACACCACGGGGGCTGACGGTCCCCAGACAAACAGTTAAAGTGAACAATAAGGAAATCATCATGAGATTAGAAGACAACATTCTGATTTTTCATTATGTCGCCAAAATGATGCAGTAAGAAAAGGCTAGACGATCACTATATTCTCACAAGCACTGGCAGTCTTTAAAGATGAATTATCCTCCCTTTAAAAATTTCAGTTTTCTATTTTTACAGTAACAGTGAAAATCCTACCTTCCACTTCAAATCTGGACGTGTGAGTGGAATAAATCTTCCATCAAACATGTGTGAAAATGGCCCATGACCTTAAAAATAAAGATTACACAGGTTTAATCTGAGACACGGTTGTCAGTAAAAGTGTTTTGAGCAAGCTAAGGATCTGGACTCTCTTATATTTGACTTCATCTTGACATTATCTATAAGGAAGAGTCAGCTACAGCGAGTACACTTTCCTAAGACACCTTAAGTACTACTGCACTTAACATAGCCAGTGCCATCACCTACATCACCGGCACGTACTGCAGCAACACTGAGAACATTAATTACTCCATGCCAGCTCTGAAGAAAATAAGCAGTTATAAAGTAATCATAACAATTTTTGAAAGGGCCACTAATTTTCACTCTGCAATGTTTTAAGAGACCTGAGGACATCACAAGAACGAGGAAGAGGGCACTTCAGCCACTGAGGGCAGAACTCCAAACACCAAATGGGAACAAGACAAAAAAACTGGCTGCGAGTGGCTACAGATTCACCAGGCGGAGCTGCCTCTGCCAATGTACTCTGGACCAAACAGGAACGGACAAATCCTGTCTCGGAACACGGCCACACACGGAGCACCACAATGCAGCTCTCGCGTTCTGATCTCACAGCCAGCTTTTCATCCAAGTTAGCTTTCAAAGAGCAAAAAGCCCCCTCAAGCGTTACTCACCCAAATCATGACAAAGCCCAGCAATTTCTACACAGAGGATGTCTCGTTGGGTGATATCCAGTTCTGGCTGTCTCTCCTTCAGTGCACGAACCAGACACCCTGCCCCCCCCCTGGGGGGGGGGGGGAGAAGGGAAGAAAAAACTAGTGAATATAGGAATATTGTAGTGTTTTAGGCCAAAGAGAAAAAGAGCAGTTCACCTATTCTATTTTATCTCCATTAAGTCACAGCCCTTGTCTGAGAGGTAGCACACAAGCGCAGACAGTCTCCTGCAGTAGAGTTCTAGTCACCAGCAATGCATCTGAAAGCAAAAAAGCACGAGATACCGTGCCCAAAACATGGAGACAACAGCATCGTCGTGTCCCTCAGGGCTCCGTGTTGGATGTCCCTGCCCATGGCGGGGGGTTGGGCTAGACGGCCTGTGAAGGTCCCTTCCAACCCCAACTGCTCTACGGTTCTATGATCCTGCAGCATTTTGTAACGCCCAACCAGGCAGTAACTGAGGAAGCGAACAGCAGTGCGTTACGGACAGTGCACGTCTGGAAGCGCCACAGCTTACACATCACCCTCTGGCTTCCAGCCAGCACAACTGCAAAGGTCCACAACAGTCACCACAGCATTTGGCTCTTCTTTCAAACCACTATTTCAACAAGAGCTTCTGACAATTATTTCTCCTCCTTCCATCATTTTTGATTTGACATTTCACTGAATGGGACCTTCTGTTCTCATATGAAACCAGCAGGAGCACACACAGGGCACATACTCCTATGAGCTATTTACAAGCTCTACACCAGCTTCCTTTTCTGCTTGTCTCAACAGTCCCTCTTGCAGAACATCTTGAAGCAAGACAAGGCTTTACATGACGAGGTAGTGTCTTTTCTTAGACCAAATTTTACTGTTTGGTATTTTTTCACTAGACGAGTAAGCACACAAAGCTCACTTTTATTTTATCACTATGGGAACCTTTGAAACTATGTATGAGTTGAGAACAACCATCCTAAGTTTAACCATATAGATTAACGGAACTGTTTAAGAGGAAAGGTTGTTGATACCACTGGAGTTTTCAGACTCCTGTTATGAAAGCTTTGTTTACATCCCTCGCATTTGTGTCTTCTCAGGTTTACCAGATGCAGTCAGTTCCAGCTTGCCTCACTGATTTGACCCCTTTCCAAGAGCCATTTGCATCTCGTCAGCATCACTGAGCGGGCACAGCGGCCAGTCCTACTCCACAGTATTTCAGCACTAACAAAAGCAACTTCAGTCTGGCCAGATCACCTGAATAAAACCCATTGACTAGTTTCATTTCTCTGCACCTTAGGGTATACCTTTAAAACAAACTTTAATTTGTCATTAATCAGCTTCTCTGTGGAGTGTGAACGACCTAGCAACAACTCTGGGAATCCTCACATCCAACATCTGTTTCTGTTTAACTTGTATTACAGATAACAGCCTGACAATCTGCCATCGATTGCAGAAAGCACACAGAACTACAAACGCAAACATCACAGATTAAATGGGTTTTAGCTGTGCTGGACAATATAAGGGGATTACAACTGTCTGGCAAGTCATTTATAGCAGCCCCGGTACCCTTCCCAGGTTTAAGCTTTAAAACATAGATTTTGACTAGGGAAAACACTAAGCACTCGCAGTTCTTAATTAACATTATCCATAGAAGAAGGGGCAGGGAAGAAATCAGACACTGATCCACCTTGTAGGTTTCTTTATCTGTCTTTATCTGTCCAAGGAACAGCCCATTAGCACACAGGCTATCTGGGAACATTTGTGAGACCAAAAATGCCACCACAGCAGTTTTCACCAACGCCCAGAGATGCCCCTTGGCTGGCACTCCAGTTAGTGGAGCCAGACTCGGGGAGATCTGAATGCAGGAGGTGTGCATGCAAGGCATCATCACCTTACCCTATGGAGTGTTCAAAGCGGTTGTGAGAGGCTCCTGGAAAAACAAAGTAAGTGCCACCCAGCTGCTTAATGTATCGGAGGCGCTGAAACTGCGGCGTGTCGATGATTCGAACCAGAAGGGGATGTATTTCAATGTGACCATGAATTGGATCGTTGAAAACCTACAAAAGCCAAACAACAGCGTAAATAACATTTAAAAACTGACTCTGAAAAGAAACAGGCACCAAGGTAAAGGATATCTTGAACGGTCAGGTATTTGGCAGGAAAGGGCGATTATTTTGTTTTTGCCTGCAGAACAGCCACGTCCTGCCTACCCTACACCAAGATTGCTCTTGGAGAACTACTCAAGCACGACATCACAAAAGACAAAGCTGAGTATTTCAGAGGGCAAGAGAATTAAAGTTGAAATCGCTAAAAATTTTATCTGTACCTGTGTAATTCCAAAACTTAACACTTGAGAAAACTGCTGTCTTTACTAATCTGCTACTCCAGCTAAAGCAGGACGCTGCAATACACGTCTGAGATATCCAATAAGAAGTGTTTGGTTTGACATTGTCCAAGTTTTTTAAAATCAAGTGAAATTCTGCAGAGTGGAAATTATGATTCTTACCTTTCTCATAAAACAAAATGCAAAACCCGAGACAACTGAAATCCGAAAGAAGTACTCCCTGGCCATCGCTAAGCACGCGTTTTAAGAGACATCTGCGCAACTACAGTGACTTACTGGAGAAAATAAAGACACACATTTAACCCTTGCCTCAGAACAGCAGATAAAAACATGTCATCGTGCACATCTTGGTAAAACACTGGGGCAAAGAAGGTTTTCCTGCGTCTTCTCTGCTCTGGGTCACTGAGCTGACAGGGCCCTAGCAGACGTGCAGACGACTAAGGAGCGCGTGCAGCCCCGGCCTGAGTTAAACCAACACATGCCACTGCGAGAAACCCTTGGACGTGGCAAACAGTGGAAGTCTGTTAACCCAGGCCTGGGGCTAAACTATTAAAAAACTAATAAAAACCCCAAGGGGCGGCTCTACACAAAAAGAGGTGTGAAAGGGGAGCTTCCCAATACACTTCAAACAGCTCATCTGCTCATTTGATCTCCCACAACCGCCAGGTGCCCACATAAAGCTCTCGGCCGATGACTTCAGCAATTCTTCTGGTTAACGTGGCTTTTCAAAGGCCACCCACTTCCCCGGAGCAGGGCTCTGCGAAGCAGAGGCAGCACCAGCTGGCACCACGGAGCCGAAGGAGGGGAGGCAGGGAGGGCGAGCCTGCGCTGCGGAGCCCGGAGCATCGTCCTCCCCGTGCCGGGGCTACCTTCATCACGTCCATGCACTGCTCTCTCAGGGCGTTCAGGCAGGCCAGCACCTTCAGTCGCTCCGATGGGAGGCTGGAAGGGAAAAAAAGACACGGAGAGCAAAGTTTGTAACGCATTTGCCTTCACAATTTCTAGTACACGTGGAATTAGGTGCGCAAGTTCGTATTACTCTGAGGGCCACTGACTCTTTTACAGAAATCGGTATTTCCACCACTTTTTCAGAAAAATATTGAAAGCCTTTACCCTTCTGAAGTCAAGTATAGACAGAAGACAGCAAATAGCTACAGCAGTCTGTAAAGCAGGGTAAGTGCTTCTCCCACTTATATAGAACCAAGAAACAGAAACACCGGGGGCATACACAGTTTTTTCACCAGTTTCTTTTAAGGAAGTCACATTTAGGGATAAGTCCTTTAAATTTATGGGAAAGACAACATGCAGGACCTGAATAACTGACATTTAAGGTTGAAACATTCCTTAAACTAAAATGTCAATGTTGCAATGAACAATTATTATAAAAATTTATTTTGGTTACTAATCTCTGAATTAAAGGAAGTTTAATTTTGCCAAATTAACTTAAATTTTGCATAAACTAATCTTGACTCCAACAGCAGAACCACCAGAGTTTAAAAGATGCTCTAATTTTGTTGAGAACCGATTCTTCTACTTTGTAAAGATATTTTTCTGCCATTTTTAACAAACTACTAAAGGTGCTCTTCACAACAGACACACACACTTTCACTGCAGGTACCCTGCTGCAGCCACGGCAGTCTGAGAGCACAGGCAAGACAAGTCTGGAGGGAGAGCGTACCCACTCCGCTGCCCCGTTCCTAACTCAGCCTGCAAGCCTCGTCCTCGAGCAGCGCGGCTGCAGCCTCGGAACGACAGCAAACGCTGCACCACGGAGAGCACGGCTCGCTACCTTCCGCGCTTTCCAGCAGTTCACCGCCCCGAGGTCAGTTTTACATCAGTCTCTCAACTGAAACTTTGATGGAAAGCAGTACTATAAAATGGCAACTATTGGCAAAAAATACTGCCTGCTGCACCACGTTTTCATCCAAAACATTTAATAATTCACGATCCATGAAATATTAAATGCATACTATGTCTGAGCTGCTGGTGAGCAGTTTTTGTCTTGCCCATTCCGCGTCCCTGTCCCTAACAGGGACCTGGGCTGCAGCCCCGCTGCTCACAGACCGCCACCAGTCAGCAAGACCAGAAGCACCGGTGGTGATGCTCAGACCAGGGCGTGACTTCGCAGCCCGAGGAGCTCGGCCTGCAGGAACAGCCACCACCCGCTGGGTACCTACAAGGGAGTTCCTGGAAAAGCCCACTACTTACGGCGCGACAGAAAGCACCCAACACCAAGGAGAAGAGGCGGCCCGTCTGCATCTGCCTGACCTGCTTGCTCTCTGCTAAGAGAAGATGAACCTTGGCATGGTGTGGAGGAGCCGAGGAACCCTTCTGTGGCCAGCAAACCAGAAGCCTGTGCACACCTATCCTGACGCTCCCAGGAAAAGCAACTGCAACTGGTCCTTGAGGTCTGTCCTGAAAATGGGACCAAGAATATTCAACTGCTGCTTCTGAGAAGCACGTAACCTTTCCAACCACAGGTACTGCTAACTCAGGCAGGACTAGCACTCGGGCTGGTAACCAAGCACCTCCATCACCATCCTCAAAAACCGTTCAGGGAGAGCAAGTCAGAAGTGATCTGCTGCCAGCACCTACATTCATCTCACTTCTGTGGAGAAGTTCTCTCTCAAGACACTTACTGTACGGGGTTTGTGTGGCAAGGTTTTGGTAGCAGGGGGGCTACAGGGGAGGCTTCTGTGAGAAGCTGCTGGAAGCTTCCCCCACACCTGATGGAGCCAGCTCCAAGATATACCCACTGCTGGCCAAGGCGGAGCTCATCAGCAATGGTGGGAGCACCTCTGGGATAACAGAGTTAAGAAGGGGAAAAAAGTTGCTGTGGAAGAGCAACTGCAGCAGGAGAGAGTGAGAATATGTGAGAGCAACGGCCCACGGTCAGTGCAGCAGGAGGGCAGGAGGTGCTCCAGGTGCCGCAGCAGAGGTTCCCTGCAGCCCCGTGGAGCAGACCATGGTGAGCAGACTGTGCTGTGCAGCCATGGAGGGCTAGAGCAGACCATGGGGGAGCAGATCCCCACCCGCAGCCCAGGAAGGACCCCACGCTGGAGCAGGGGGATGCCTGAAGTGAAGGGGTTAAAAGGGATTTTAATACAAGTGGCATTACCTTATAGTTGCTGTGCATTTAAAACACTGATAGTGCTTATCTATTGTCTAAATTGACTGAAGCAGAGGGTCTTGCATCTCCATCCAAAGGGGTCAGTTTTTGGTAGGGGCTGGGAGTCGCCTAGAACCGGTCAAGACCGACCCTGCTGTATGGACGGGAGCCAGGAGAGAACTGAGTTTGCGCAGAAACAAAGGTCAATCAGCGGACACCGTGATGAAGAGGACGGGCCTTCATCTTGGGACCCCCGACGACCACCACCAGGAGGCACTGCGCAAGTGCAACTGGGAGGAGTCTATGGAAATTATTTCTGGGAACTGATTTTGATATGCAATGAGGATAGATGCATATGTATAGGTGTACTGGGAAATCTAATGCATATGTAATATTTGATTGTATAAATTGAAGAGACACGTTGCTGCTCGGCGCGCACGACTTTGGTGGGACTACCCCCCGTGCTGCCCGGCTTTGACAGACTGTGGAGTCTGCTTTCCGCACGTCAGAAGGAGGCTGTGACCCGGGAAGAGAGGAGGGGTGGGGGGGAAGATGCTTTAAGATTTGGTTTGATTTCTTATTACTCTACTCTTATTTGATTGGTGATAAATTAAATTAATTTCCCCAAGTGAAGGCTGTTTTGCCTGTGGCAGTAATTACCCAGTGATGTCCTTATCTTGACCCATGAGCCTCTCGTTATATTTTTTCTCCCCTCTCCAGTTGAAGAGGAGCAGTGATGGAGCAGCTTTAGTGGGCACCTGGCGTCCAGCCAGGCTAAACCACCTCACCCAACACGCAGAACCACACCTGGCCTGGAGCATCTTTGTTCCAGCAGACTTGAAAAATTAACACCCAAACTTGATGTACAGAGACGATCCCCGCGTTCTCCACTACAGCTGAGGTCTCCAGTGGCCGTCACTTCAAAGCAAGCTAGTAACGGAGATCAAACATCAGCAGCGTGTTTCTGAACGGGCTGCAATGTCGCAACAGCTACAGCAGCACCACCCAGGACTATCGCCCAAATATCCTTGCCCAGAAGGCTCCTCTGGGTCACACAATGTACACGGGGTAGGGCTTCACGACGTTTTTGAGGAGGTGAAGCAGTGCACAGGAGCACCCAGCGCTAAGCGAGGGACGGCACTGCTCAGGGCACAGCCTGTTGGCTTGAAGCACTTGATTACACTTCTAAAGGCCACAAAAATTCAGGAGGAGAAAATTAACTGGAAAATAGCCAAGTACGTAAGGAGGAAGGCATGTGGGCGCCTACCATCTTCAGAAATTACCAGTGACTGCAACTAGAGGAACAGCAGAGAAAGGACAGCTCTACACTGCTGGCAGCACAGTTTATCATACAGCTACCCAGGAATGGCAGGGCACTAAACATATCCGTCTGCCACCAGCCTGTCATGGAGGAGCGACGAAAGCCACCGCAGGACGCAGCGTGCAGTGGAAAGAGGCGTGCAAAGGGATCATTCTTTACTGTGAAGTTGAGATGTTTCAAAAAAGCAGAAGGCTCGAGCAATTTCTCGCCCAACTCACAACATTTTAAGCTGAACAGAAACATGGTATCTGATCTCACCGAAGGAAACACCTTATAAGACACAATCCCCAAGCACGTTGGTCCATACCGCCAGCAGCACCCACTCTCCGTACGGACTGAGAGCTCTTCACAGGCGACTGACCCCACCAGCCAGCCCACACGCTCGGAGGGTGTGGCCGAGTCTCCGCAGGGACACTCGCTGCTCAGACAGCCCGCAAGGCACTAAAAGAAACGAGCCTCCTGGTAGCCTCGAAAAAGAAACTACACATCCGCTTGTTATTTCAACCAGACAATTACCTCATACTTCAGCAGCAAACAAAGCCTGCAGCTGCCCCGCTCGAGGTACCACCCCTTTGCCATCCGCACACTTCAAACAGCTGCCGGTAAAACCCTTCTTCCGAAAACACCAAATACACCTCACTGACTCCTGCCGACACCTTACCTCCTCTGAAGAGCAACCCTTCTGCCTTCTCGTCCTGAGTCACACCAGCTCTTCTTCCTCCGCCGAAGGCCACACCCAGACGCCCGCTCCTTCAACCCCCCCTTGGCAAGCTCCAAGCGCCGCCGGGATGCCCTGATGTAACAGAGATGGGGCCCCTCACCCTCAGCGCGGTGCTAGCTCCGACGAGGCGTCAGCCGAGGAGCCAACCCACACGCCGAAACTCTCCGACTCGGAGCAGCACAGCTCCATGTCTGCCGGGTAAGCGGACCACCTCAGGTCCGCCAACCACCACACCAGCAGAGAGCTGGAGTGGAAGAGGTGGGGTCTGAGAGAAACTCGGAGGGAACAGCGTAAACAAGATTAGCGAAGGAATAAAGCAAAGGCGAGCAAAGATTAAAAAGCACCAGGAGAGGTGAGCAAACCCACCCCAGCGGGGCAGAGAAGGGGCAGCGGGGGCCCTTCAGACGCACAGGACCACGGGACACATCTATACACTCTTCTGCTTCAGGACAGCACGAAAGTATATTCACCGCCAGAAAACTTACAAGGTTTTTTGGGACCAGTCATGTCCCTCACTGCTGGGAACAACCCTTTACGTGCTTTATAAGACAGCGTTCAGTTTTCCTGCACTCGTGGCAGGCACGAGCGGGGAGCAGGACTCTGCCTGACTGCCTGCTGCTGAGGGCTGGGACAGCTCTCAGTGGCCACTGAACCCCACACTCACCCACAGCCCTGCGTGTGCTGTCAGGACACGTGACGAAATCTCTTTTTTGCAGCAGTCCGCACTGTCGCAGCGGGCGCAGCACAGAGCAAAGTCCCAGCAACTGCTGCAAGATCAGAATTTCAGCACTGTTGGGGCTTTGCCTCAATTTGCAATAAAGAACCACACAGCCGCTCTCTCACTCCTTCCCCCTCTCCAGTGGGACAGGGAGGGCAATCAGAAGGGAAAAGGCAAAACTCGTGGGTTGGGAGGAGAACACTTTAACAGCATGGCAAAGGGAGAAGAAAACAGCGATCAATAATACAGACAAAAAGCAATATGCAGCATGCAGTGTTCTCACCACTTGATGCTCCGCTTGCTCCCCAGTAGCGAACCCCCCTCTGTCAGCCAGCTCCCCGCTTAAATACTGAGCCTGACACCCCACGGTGGGGAACACCCCAGCTGACTGGGCGGTGGGGGCCAGCCCAACCAGCTGCTTGCAAAAATTAAGCCTACCCCAGGTGGACCTGGGGCAAACGCCCAGGATTTGCCTCAGGGAGATGGGTCAAACCCCACCTCCACAAAGGAGCAGCTACTCACTGCTTCAAACACCGTCACCGCTGTCACTGCCAGCGCGGGAGCAGCACGAGCTTTGGGCTGAAGAGAAAGCTCTCGGCCAAGCCTCTGGAGTTCACGTGGTGGGTTCATGGAATCACAGAACGCTTTGGATTGGAAGGGACCTTCACAGGTCATCTCGTCCAGCCCCCCTGCAACGAGCAGGGCCATCTTCACCTAGATCAGGTTGCCCAGAGCCCTGTCCAACCTGACCTTTGACACGCGCAAGGCGATCGTGCCACCGGCGGCATCGCCATTACAGCTTTTTTAATGGACTTTTCGCTTCTCGTGGATAGTGGGAAACCAGCTTCCCCGCTCGGACGGCGCTGGGCTCAGCAGGGGGACGAGGAGCTGCCCTGGGCGCCCCAGACCACGGAGACCCCCCCGCCCCCACGCCCCAGGGTGAGAAGGGACAGAGCCAGCCCGGCCCCGCGGCTCGTCCCGGCGGTG